AAATAGCCACCATTAATAATAATACTAACGGCATTAAAAACATAGATTTTTTATTTATGAATATTACTTTTGAGATATAGTAAATAAATAACTCTTAATTGTAATAAATATATTAATAAATAAAAGGTGCTCTGGAATCGGTTTTATTGTTAAATAAGCCAGCTTTAATGTTCTAACAAAGTTGTTCTTCATACTGTGACAATTTTAACGATGGTGAAATAATTAAAAATGGCCCTTTACTTAATATCAAATCCAGCTCTGGAGCACTTTTTTATTATAGAGAGATGCGCGTTAATTCAAAATTGCATGTTATTTTTGAAGATCCTGATTTTCAAAATAACGCCCACAGGCGTTATTTCGGATTTACACGGTACATCTATTATGTAAGATAAGATAGTATCAAAATTATTATTGATTGTAAAAGGATGTTTTTTTTTTAGCATACAGACGAAAAGCCATATGTAAATTTACTTATATAAGGTTATTATCTCTCATTCTAGTTCATTAGATCATGTCGTCAACTTTTTGGTCGAAAATGATTTTAATGAAAATTTTGATGCTGGTCTCTATTTTAACGTTTTTATTATTTTTATTCCATCCTGCATTAGCATTCCCAAGGAAATTTTCATCGCACACTAACCATCTAAGCAAAAGACATGAACCTAAAAAAGTTTATGACATTACTATCTCTAAAGAAGAATTAGCACCTGACGGTTTTACTCGAGAGATGTACACTATAAATGGTCAATTTCCTGGTCCCCTCATTGAAGTTAATAAAGGTGACACTTTAGTTCTTAATGTCCACAATGATTTAGAAGATGAGACAACGATTCATTCACATGGAATGTTTCAACGTGGGACTCCTTGGTATGACGGTGTTCCTGGACAAACACAGCGTGGCATTCCACCAAAAAAATCATTTACCTACGAATTTAAAGTGGATCAAAGCGGGACTTACTGGTAGTAAGTTGCCTTTGTTAAATAATCAATTATTTGAAATGACAACTATATAATCATAATTTATAAATAACATGAATGTTAAATAAAAAAAATAGCCATTCACATTCGAATGCTCAATATATTGAAGGGGTTGTTGGTGCCCTTATAGCTCACGATCCAGATGATCCTTATCTTGAAGATTATGATGAGGAAATTGTAGTATTACTACAAGATTGGTATCATAAGGATTCGAAGATCTTGTTGTCTGAATTCATGAATCCTGCAAACGTAAACGGAAGTGAACCAACACCTGATAATGGTTTGATTAATGGAAAAAATTCTTACAACTGCTCTTGGGCACCGGCAGGTAGCGAATGCGTTAGTAATGCACCATTAGCAATCTTTAAATTTGTTAAAGGAAAGAGATACAGAATTAGAATTATCAATACAAGGTTAAATTTTTTAAAAAAATTTTTTTTAAGTTATTGGCATAAATTATTGATTGATTGATTGATTTGTTTGTTTGTTTACCATTAGTGCTTTTGCTGAATTTATTTTCTCAATTGATGAACATCCTATGGATGTTATTGAAGTTGAAGGGATGATGACCAAACGCCACACAATTCACCGACTCCCTATTAATATAGCCCAACGTTATTCTGTCATTGTGACAGCTGATAAACCTATAGGCAAATATTGGATGCGCTCGGAAATGGAAACTGCATGTCTCGCCACTGAATCAGATAAGCTAAATCCTCTTGTAAAAGCCATTGTTGAATATGAAGGTCATGATATTGATGATGATCCAAAATCGGTTGCCTGGACTGAAACCCCTGAAACTTGTGTAGATTTGGATTCATCAAATTTAAAACCTTATAATGAACAAAAGGTTCCAGACGTGGATTATAAATTAATAGTAGATGTTAATTTCCATCCAGATGATAAAGGTATCGTCAGGGGATATATAAACAATTCAACATATTTATTGGATGCGAAATACCCTACACTTCATAAAGTATTCGATAATGTGAAAGAATATCCAGCTGATCAAAATGCTTACTTAATTGAGAACAATAAAGTTGTTGATATTATTTTGTCAAGTAATAATAATATTAAAATGTTTTCTTTTGTTTTATAAATGAATGAATTATAATTAATAAAGGTTTATATATTATTATTTTTATCCATTTAGATAATGATAGTGGTGTACACCCATTCCATTTAGTATGTATACTGTACTTTGAATATATATATAGATGTATGTATGTATTTGTTATATAACATTAATTAATAATTAATTAATATTTAATTAATACTAGCACGGTCACGTATTTTGGGTACTTGGTATTGGTCAAAATGGAACAAGCCCAGATTATAACTATTTAAATTTCAAAGACCCTATACAACGTGATACTGTTACTGTTCCTCCTGATGGGTGCGTTAAATTTGTAAATTTAAATTTGTCAACTTTTGTTTTAATAATATTAAAAATATTTAATTTTGCCACCAGATGGACCATCCTTCGATTTGTATCAGATAACCCTGGTGTATGGGGATTTCACTGTCACATTGAAGTAATTCATAATCTATTATTACTTAAATTTTCATTCTATAGTAATTGCTTTAATTCTAACATAATATTAATTCTTAGTGGCATGTACAATCAGGTTTAGTTATGCAATTCATCGCCCAACCAGATAAAATCAGAGAATTAAAAGCACCTGATGAGTGGGCACAATTATAACGATTGTTCTAATTATTATACGTAAAAGAATCAAATGAAACGTTTTAGAGGCTAAATTTATGATGATCAGAAGTTGTCCGACATGATAATTTAATTGGTTAAGTTAAAAATTGAGTTGATACGTATATTTCAATGATTAATACATACCATATCTTAGCGTAATAGTATTCACTTGCGCGTATATGAGTATTGTGTGCGCGCATGTACATTATTTCAGTGGGAACATGGACTTTATTTTAAAACTATTATTTTTGGAAGATTCGATTTTCCAAGCAATGCCCATGTCCTCTATTTACGAAAATATGGTAGCAAAATTACTTTATAACTTATTCATTCATTATTATTTATATTGATATCATTCATTTTTAACAAACCAAATTTATAGTTTACTTATCTCACACATTCATTATTATTTATATTGAAATCATTTATTTTTTAACAAACCAATTTATAGCTCACTTATCTTCTCATTCTTCCCTTATTATTTATATGAAATCATTTATCCTTTAACAACCTCAATTTATAGCTTATCTCATTTATCTATTATTATTTATACGAAATCATTTATTTTTTAACAAACTCAAATTTATAGCTTATCTCATTCGATCATTATTATTTATATCGCAATCGAAATCATTTACTCTTAAACTCAATTTTTTTAGCCGATATTGAAATTATGTTGAATTTTTCGCTTCACAACTTCTTATATTGACCTTTTTTATTATTACGTATTAACTATTTGACGAGGTTTCTTTATGATGTCGATTTATTATCGTAAGAATCAATTAAATTAAATACTTTATGCCCTCAGAATACTAAATTTAATTATATTATTATGATTTTGATTATAATTATTACTGTTGAACCTTTCAAAACAGTATTGAGAGTTGTTAGATTTGAGAACATTATAAACCATTAGATTTATATAACAGAAACAAACTTTTGTAGATTAATTTTTTTATCAGATTAGGTAGGTTATCGGTTTTGATCTGTTTTGAGAGGTTTAGCAGTATTATTGTAATGTTATTATTGGAGCGATATTGAAATGACTCAGCCGTAGAAAATGGTGAAACTATTACAACATTGCCAAAGCGATTTGACTGTCCTTTTACAGCAACATTACTGAGTAACTAACAATATAAGTTAATTAAGGATGGCTCCGTAAGTATTTTGGCGTGCCAAAATATTTTTACGGTAAATTCATCTTGCTGAAAGTGCAAACCCTAAAGTCGAAAGTTCAGAAAGTATTTTTAGTATACTGAACACTTTATGTAAATCCATCGTGACAAAACAGAAAAATTTTATCAAGGATTGTGAGCTAAAAATTTTATCGAAAGTTTTACTAAAAGTTTAATATTGCGAAAAAGTTGTTACTATTTAGCAAATATAAATGCAATTAAGAGAAAATTAAACTCTTAGTTTTCAATTTTATCAAAACAGACTTACCTCTTGAAAAATCTAATTAAAAAAATACGGTCATAGAGTTTTACTATTATTTAAAATTCGAATTACTTTGATATAGGCAAAGCTGTGGGTAAATAAGTTAGTTACCTAAAACAACTTAATAACAGCAATAATGTAATAGATAACGAAATCCTTGCTTCTAAGTGAGGTTCGTAAAGTTCTCAAGGTTACTGATTATTTTAAATTATTTTTGTAATGAAAATAGACGTTCTTTCGAAGCAGAACGACTTTTACAGTGACTTTTCATTAGTAAATGTTATGTTCTCAAAAAGTACGTACTTTACAGATAAGTTACGTACGTACGTACCTGGGCAATGGATTTGCATCAGCCAATAATACGAAGTCCACTTATGAACACAGGCGTGGAACCAGAGAACTGCGGTGAATATGCCGATATGCATATCGATATGTATATCGATATGCATAATAAGTTACCCGAGCAATTAATTTACATCAGCCAATCATATGAAAGTCCACCTATGAACACATGGGCGTGGGTACCCGGACAATGTGGCGAATATGCATTTGAGATTGGCTAAAACGGTTAAAGTATATTATAAAGTTATATATAAACGGTAACCCAAACACTAACTCCGCTTTAACTAGCCTTGTTTGTTTTCGCGACTATATATTTAATCTTTTTACGTTTTAGCCATATGCTATGCGTTAACGGCACTGTCCCCATATAAAGTTGTAAAGAAAATAATTTGAAACGAATGAGTCAGCACGGGCATTAATTTAATGAGGCTAATCGAATTAGTCAAAAAAAAAAAACAAAATACTCCGATCCGTGTGAAATTACGTATTATTCCTAATTACATCATTATGAGAAGCAATCGGATTTTTTTAAGGATTAAATTTAAACGTTAACCATATTTATAGATAATTATGAAATCGAATTTTTTCGAGGATTAAATTTTAACGTTAACCATATTTATAGTAGCATGGTTAAAAATCCTATGATTGGCTAAATGATAAGAAATAGAAACAATATAAACAATATAAAAAGTCATCCAA